CTGTTTGATCAGGAAGTGCAAAAAAAAAGGCCCGAATGCCAGTCATTTCCTTGCTCTTATCCAGGCATTAATTAAGCCACTGAAGCTCATCAATTAGAAGTTTCTCAGCTCAAATTACTGCTGCAAACTGGCTTTCATGTGACTACCCACCTTTGCCTCACTTGATATGCAAATTAGCAGCACCTCTTCCTTAAGCGCTTGCCTGTTAACACCCGCTTACATCTGGCTTTTGAGCTCATCGCCAACGTGCTTCATCAGCACTAAGGCCCTTGCAAAAGCAAAAAAGCAGCAGTCACGGGTAATTACCGGCCCGGATGGGCATTGACGCAACAGAAACGCATGTTTATCATGGATGACATCTTCAGTTGAAGCTGCTCAACATAGAGCATCAACTGAGAGGCAAAAGGGATGAGGCTGAGTGACTTTTAGCGGTCTGCAGACAGCTGGCAGCGCCGTCTGTGCTGCCGTGCTGGGCTGACGTCCTCGGATTAGACAAAAAAAAAAAAAACACACAAAAAACGGATTTCATTTGATCCATCACCTCAAAAATACTCACACAAGATTAACACACCATCACACATGGGAAAATTGCTTGGCAAATACGTTTAGCAAGTTTCTCACACCCTTTTTTTAGGATCTGCTTTTCTTGAAAGCACCTGCTGGAAAACAGGGTAACATTTTTTTTTTTTTACAAACCTATCTTACCTTCCATGCACAGCGGGCTCTCTCTTTCCATCTTTGCTCCCAGCTGAGAGGGGCACACATCGGTCTGCACACCGCTGCTACAACCTTCAGTTGCAAATGTGATGTGAGCAGCGAGAGAGACGCCAGAGAGGGGAGACGTACAGCCTTCTGTCACTTCTAGCGTTATACAACAAATAAGACTGAGAGCGTTAAGTTAGTTGTCAAATTTCCAATCAAGATTTTAAGATGTCCAACAGTGATTTAAGATTTTTAACACAAAGAATCATATACACTCGTTATCGAGGTCGCAAACTTCCAACATGAATGAGCACTGTAAGGCTAAAAAGTCAAATGTCTGAGAATGAATTTCATGTTTGTGATTTTATTATGATCCCACTGTATTTTTAAATCTGTGGGACGGCCTCTCTGTGGGGAAAGTCCTTACTCTGCTTCACCTGAAACCATTCTGTGGTTTTATTTGTTTAGGAAATGCAGGCAAATTCCAGGCCAGGAATCTGAGCGCGCGGCATTAAACCGCACAAAAGAGACCAAGAAAGAGGGAGATGCTTATTATAAGTAGGGGAGTGTGTGGGTGGGTGGGTGGATAGGTGGGGGTGGGTGGGGGGGGGGGCGCAGGAGGAGACATGCAGCCTGATGGGACGCCTGAAAGTGTGTGGGAGAAGGAGACGGAGGTATTCGACGCACTACAAACCAGTGTGCTGAGGGTTTTCCTTGGCCTTAAAAGCAAGGAAAGCAGGTTGAGTGGGGAAAAGAGCAGAGAGCGGGAGTACTCTGTGTGTCTGTGTGTGTGTGTGAGTGAGAGAGAGAGAGAGAGAGAGAGAGAGGGAGGGAGGGAGGGAGAGCGAGGAAGAGACGCTGGTTCCTGGAAAAGCAGAGGGCTGCAGAATAAACAGGCTGCATGCCTGAGACTGCCCTGTGATGTCACCACTGGGCAAACGAGGGACGAGGGGAGGGGAAAGAAAAGAGCAGAGGGAGACACCCATCAGGTTAAAACAAGAGAGGGGATGAACACCCAGCCAAAAGCAACGGAGGCTGAGAGCGTGCAGAGACACCAGATGAGCAGGAACGGGAGCTGGCTGTTGTTGCCCGCCATAGACTGAAGGCAGAAGAGCAGAGGAGGAGGAGGAAGAGGAGGAGGAGGAGGAGGGGGCACATTGATAAGGAGGACAGGACGAAGAGAGGAGGCTGAGAGAGCACTGATGGGTAACGGCAGCGCCGACTCTTTTATGTGGCGAGCAATTAGCGCTGCCTGTGTGACAGAGATGCCATATGAGGTGTGTGTTGTGGGTTAGTGTGCGTCAGCCAGTGTGTGAGGCTGCTTCAGACTGGATATGTGTGGAGGAACATTTTGTACGGGCAGGGTGTGCGTTTGTGTGGATGAGTTATGGATTCGCATTAGCCAGGAGCCGCAGCCCATTGACAAGTTCAGATTTAAATTTCAACGATCACCCCCCCCCCCCCCCCCCGAGCAACCCTGTCCCTCTACACTTCTCTTATGCCTCTCCGGGGTTAATTGTATTGCTATCGGCTTTGGTTCAACTTCCATCTGACAGTAAGCGAGCAGAGGGAGATGAGGCCGTCTCAAACAGGATGTGAGGCCACGACGTGGGCTCGGTCAGAAAGACCTCACATGGAGCTCTTTTAGTGCTCGGCCAGAACTCTTTAATGGTCAGATAGACACTGACTCACATCCTGGAACTCTCCAGTGACTCGCACACATCTTTGAAAGAAATACCTTCTGAGAAAACAAGACGATAGCATAGACTCTCGTTTTGGGATGCTGAGGCTTGATTAACCGTTTTGAAGGAACTTAATATTCCTCTGGTGCTCTGCTCCTCTCATCCTCTGCCAGATTGTCACCCGTGTCCGAGAGCCGCCAAAACCGAGGGCGTCGCTGCGTTTAATGAAAGACTTTGTACCTTGTTAGGCAGATTTACAGATAGCATGAGAGTGAGCCTTAGATTTGTTGGAGTGTGCTAAATGAGTGGGGGAGTGAGCGTTTTCTAAAAGCGAGAAGCCTCACGTCCTGCAGGTTGAAACGGAAAGACTAGTTTTCAATTAGAGGGGCTGAAGCAGACTGTGAGGCTCTGCCGACTACCGACTCACATGTTGTTGTCATCCCCCACATGACTGCAGTCCCCAAGGACCCGTTGCATGTTATTGCACCGCTCTGTTATGGTACGGCGAGCGGTAACCGCAGGGGGAGGTGCTTTCACCTGAGAGCCATATGGCTTCAGCAGTACCCACCGCCGTATTTGGGCGTGCAATTAAAGTTTGTCTGTTCAGAAGACGATGATCAGGAGGAGGACGAGGAAGGGGGAAAGGTGCTTTCCAGGCTTCTGCCTGCGACCCGTTAGAGGAACCTTCAGTGCCTGCGTTATGGCTTTGTGGTTCGTTTCAGTGAAAAACGTCTCAAATAACAAAGGCCAGAAGTGAGCCGGTGCCCGACACGTGCCCTGTGGATGACAAGAAACCGGCAGCTTCTCAGAAAAGAGACGTGCTTGTTAAACACCACACAAGCTGCGTCATTTTGCCGTGCGGCCGCTATTCAGCGTGGCAGCGATGCCGTGTTTGCCTCTTTATTAAGCGAAGTTGCAGGCAAGTATCTGTGGATCTCGCTAGGCTCTCTGTAAACATGTAGGTAAATAATCGGCCAATCGGCTCCTATTTATTCAGATTTAATGGGAGGAAGCTGCTTGATTGGAGGGCTTCCTGTGCAGTGATTTGTGGCACGAGCTCTGCACCTCACGGGGTCAATGCAGTCTTTGTTGGATGTCGCTGGGCTTCGCGGCAGAGCTCCAGCATCAGTCGCCGTCTGCGCTGCAGCAGCAGGATATTCACCCCGTTTCCTTTTGTCGCTTTTTTATTGCCGTGGGTTTTGAAGTGTTAGACAATGTTTAATCTCATTAGAAGGTTGTTTTCTCATCTGTTGACTGTGGGATCAAAGGTCAGGCTTCTGAAACCGCTTTGATTTTGATTGATAGAAGACAAGCAGCAGGCGTTGTGCCACCTCTGATTATTAGAAATCTCTTTTAGGGTGCGCGAAAAGATGCTCTCCCTTTTGTTTCTTATCCTGGCATCGGCTCAAGAGTTGAGATTTTGATTTGAGTTGCAGCCTTAAACCCCACATCAATTCAGAGGATTATTTTGTATGAAAGCAGTGATTTATGTTGCTCGCTTTCCCTTTAACAAAGCTGCTTCACAGCAGGGGGAGAAGAACAAGAAGAACCCTGGTAATTGAAATAAAAAAGCTTTGAATCACTAATGGTCCATTTTACTAACAGGTAGACCCATTAAACAACATTGTGAAGAGATTTGACTTAATCCCAGTCGGCTTTACAACCTTGCCGTTGCACAACGAACACACAAGGTGCTGTGAGGGGCCCACGTGATGCAGATGCGTTGCTGTCATTTGGCCTCGTGCTGTCAGGGGCATGTCCACTTTAATGTTTGCCTTGCATCCAAATGCACTTTGTCACAAGAAAAGTTAGATAGTAAACCATGGATCCGGTGCTAAAGAAGTGGAGGGCTTTATGGCTGAATAATTAAAGAAGGACCTAACCAGGAGAAAAAGCTTTTATTTACAGCTCTGTGCAAAACTATTGATCCGCTCCACATTTCTCTATATTTTGCTTCCAGCCTGGCTTTGCTCGAATTCTTTAAGTGGTCTTGATCTGTAGTTCTCGGGACTTTCATTCGTGAATACAGACTGGAGCCAGTAAGAATTTCACTAACTCTTAGTTTTCTCACTACTTTCTTCTCAGAATAGAAATGAATAAGGGCTCATGACTGTGGTTCGGTAATGGATCAGTTTTTCCTCGGGCCAAAACATGAAATCTCTGGAACATCTCTCGAGTCGAGGCTCTGCATCCATCTAGTCCCAAAAGCCAAAAGTCTCTCAAAGCCCTGACTCTGGGCTTAAGAGCCCCACGCTGCACCGACTGCCCCCTGCAGAAAATGTCCCCTCCGCGAGAAGCAATACTGCATGCTGGTGGTCGTTTGTCCTAAACTGTATGGGAAAGCTCTGTCGGACACGTTCACTTTCCTTTGCAGACATCTCTTTGATCTTTTGCTTTCCATCGCTGCTAAAGGTTCACAGCTCTGCTCCTTCATTTCTCTCCCCCCCGCAGTGGACATCAACTCGGCGCTGCCCCTGCGTCTGCCCCCGGCTGCCATCCCCATGGACCTGCGCATGGACCACCACCACCAGCAGCAGCAGCAGGTGTCGGCGCTCTCCCCTCCCGCCCCGCAGCCGCCCGGCTCCCTCGGGGGGGCGGGCCAGCCGGGCGGGGGGGCGGCGGCGGCGGCGGTGGCCTCGGTGCGCGAGCAGCAGCTGCAGCAGGAGCTGCTGGCCCTCAAGCAGAAGCAGCAGATCCAGCGGCAGATCCTCATCGCCGAGTTCCAGCGGCAGCACGAGCAGCTGTCCCGCCAGCACGAGGCCCAGCTCCAGGAGCACATCAAGGTACCCCCCCCCACCACCACCACCACCATGTGTGTGTAGAGTTAATGACGAGGAAAACAAAAGGGCACAAGTATGTTTTCAGTTTGTCTGTCGTCACGTACAAAACTGTGAAGCCAGATTTCATTAAAGATGAATCATGGACAAACCATGAAGCCAATAAAATTTAGGGATGGGTGCACATTTCCAAAATTCTGCAGTCCTACAGCAACCAAAACAAGTCCAAAATGCTGCAACACAAGCCACTCAAAGCAGAATTCCTGCACCCCTACGAACCTTTTTAAATCTCTCGCAAACAAAGCGAAGACAGCTCTTAATTTAGTCTGCCACGGGATTCTTCAATAAGAGACTGAACTCAGAGGCAAAGAGCGGCCGCATCAGCTTTAAATGGCTTCTCTGGGAGGAAAGAGGGAGCAGAAAACACTCAGGCACTTTGGCTTCATTTACTTTAACTCAGGGGATGGATGAGAGCAATATAAGGATTTGTTTGGATTCAGAAAATGTGTGAACGCTTGTTGCGCTGGAGGTGAGTTATATAACTGAACCCTCGCACCTTGCACAAATATCAGCGTGCTGTAATGCATTGTGCACACAGCCGAATGAAACGTGTAACTTCGATAAATGTAGATGTAATGCCGCCTTCCAAAGGACATTTTTCTGTGTGAACGTGAACAAAATCACACAAAATGTAAGTCCAAGTGGGGATCACGTGCCAGTGACCTGGAAATACAGACTAAATCTAGATCATCACGCCCACGCTCTGAAGCTGTAATACATCAGGCCCCCCCGAGAGCATTGCAGCGCTCCTGTGGGGCTGAATATTCCAGCATTTGTTCTTTTTTTAAGGAATTACTGCTGTAAAACGAATGGTAACATCAGCTGAAAGCGATGAACTGGTTATTGTTTTGCAGGATGCGGTTTGTGAAAACTGAGCATTAGATGTACACGTCTATGACATCGACACACAAGAGTTGTTGTACTTTGAGGATCCTCTTTAAGGAGTTTGAGTTTTTGCCGTCAGTCTGACTTTTTCTGGTGAGGGTTTCCATACATGAGAGTCAAGTTGCACAAAAATATTTCTCTTTTGAACGTTTTTATGGATGCTGAGGAAATCATCTAGCCCCCCGACAGGCATCTTGGTTTATTAAGCAAAGCCACATGGTTACATGGAGCTTTGAGTGACAAGAGAACGGGCACGATAAGATACAGGTGAGGCATCTCCTGCATCCGTAGTTGGCCTTTTACGCTGTATGTTAATGCCCCCGCTAGGCATAAAGTGCAGTATCTGAAGTGCTGTTCCCTTTGGACCTGTCTCGGTGATGCTTCGGGATGAGTGATGCCGTCTTAGGGCTGGTCCGGCCTGTGGTGGGGCTGCAGGACCACTCGGACGGAAGCCAGTGACGCACAGCCAGAGCGCGGAGGCCCAGCCTCAATCAGCCCCATTCACATCCCCCGTGTGCGCACACAAACGCGGGATTAAAACATGCGCGACCTCTTAAATTTCAGCAAACACAGCCCGAGCGCATGCTCGGTTCGTTTCCACATTAGAGGCGGCCAGCCAGCACTCAGGTACACGCAGCTGCAGGCAAACATTTGCATACACTCAGTCATTCACACGCAGCCTCTGGCCTGCAGGGAAGTCCACGGAGGCAACCCCGAGGAGTACGACTCTGAGAGGGGGCAAAAAAGGAAATTGTGCGTGCTGCTCTGGTCTGCTGGGCCGCAGGGTGACTGTGCATGTAGGTCAGAGGTTACTTTGAGCTTCCCCACCCTCTGTAGCCCCTTAAAAAAAAAAAAAAGATTGAGGTGTGTGGCTGGAAGCGGGCCAGAGAGACGACACACTTTTTCCCCTCACCTCCACATGCTAATTTATTCATAGAGCTACCCTCACTGTAAACAGAGGTTCTGGTCCCAGCTGTGGAGCGTCTGTCTACAGCACCGGGGGTCGCCTCCATGCCGCTACAGCGAGCTGATCAAGTCTCGCCGGCGACCCCCTGCTCGGGCGGCTTCGTTCCTGGTCGGTGAAAATGGGTTTCGGAGCATTGTTATCGTTTAAACCGGTGATCTTTCCCACGATGCTCACAGCGAGGGTCAGTGCGGCGTCAAGGGGCTCTTCTGTGTTTTTTTTTTAGGGGACTCTATCGTTTACTTTTTGTTTGCGGGACAAGCTGTCAGGACCACAGATGGTTTTCTTTTTTAATGAAAACCTTACGAGCACTACATTTTTCACATTTTAGAGCATTTAACAGATGCTGCTGAAAAAGTAAACAGATTGGATTTTGTGTTTTGCTGGAGCCTGATCCCCAGCTAAATTTGTTTAGAGGCTAAAGCCTGCGGCCTGAGGTCTGCGAGCGTGTGCGAAGATTTTATTTTGTTGCTTTGAGCAGCCGTTAAACTTATTTACCTCAGATCGAAGAGTGACATTTGCAGGAGTTGCAGGAGGGCATTTAAACCGAGCAGAGTTATGAATTGGTTTCAAAAACAGTTTATGGTTCCCTACAAGGAGGAAGTGGTGAGGAGTCAGGTGTCAAATAATGCCTCTTACTGACGGGATTGTGGTGTTTTGTCCTGCAGCAGCAACAGGAGCTCCTGGCTTTGAAGCACCAGCAGGAGCTGCTGGAGCACCAGAGGAAGATGGAGAACCACCGTCTGGAGCAGGAGCTGGAGAAGCAGCAGAGGGAGCAGAAGCTGCAGCTCCTCAAGAACAAGGAGCGAGGCCAAGAGAGTGAGTGGGATCAAGAGGGAAGTTGTGAGCACAGATGCTACGAGGAGAGCAGCCTAAAAGACTTTGAACAAGTCCAAAAAGCACATTAGTGGCTGATTTAAAAAAAAAAAAAAAGAAGAAGAAAAAAGCCAGCACTCTGTTGAGTGTTTATTTTTTTCTCACCGTCTGTGTGACATGTGTTCACGTGTCCCCCTAAAGAGCTCTGATCACAGATGCTGCGTATCAAAGGAGAATCTGATTCCAAAAACCCGCACAACAAAAAGCAGCGCCATGTTAAGGGCTTGTAAATGCAATTCCAGGTCCTTCATAACCTTGGGAGGTTTCATCTGCCAGGATTAGGAAGAACCCTTCTTTTTAAAGAGTTGAAAAGAAGCGTTGTGTTTGTGCTCTTCGGTGAATGCTTGTGTGTGAGTTTCCATTTTCCTTGGAGAACCTGTATATTTGCCATGGTAAACGAGCTGTATTAGCCCGGTGGCCTTGGCGGGGGCCGGGCCAGTTATTATCGCTGCCTGCTGGACGTCTCTCAACAGTTTTTTTTTAAAGCAAGTGGACAGGAGTCCTTGAGAGCAGTTTACACACCCTGTGGAGAGCGCTGGTGGATAGGGCGTGCGCACGTGCGCGGATCGGCGAGCCGGCTCTCACATGTACCTGCTGGATTGTGGTGGAGTGCTCAGCGCTTTCGAATGTCTCAACACTTCACGGGATTTCTGTGTATTTTGGCACAGAGGTTTTTACATTAAGGTGGCCATTTTTAATTTACCCCTGAACCAGAGAAGGCCCACTGTGTTTGACTGACGAGTGACCCTGTGAGTTGATGGATCTTCTGCCAGTAAAACTATCCAGTTTATTTTTCTGTATTTTATGCATGAGGATTCCCCGATACTACGCTGAGCTTAATAACCACGACCAAACGCAAGAAGTTTAAATAGATTTATATAGGTTTATTTGATTTAACTCCACTTGACTTTAAATGAAGCACATTTGTCTACAAAGAGTGGATTTACATTTCCTGTACAGTTGGGTTTCTTTGCCACAAGCACATGTGAAAACGCTCTGTTCCTTTTTCCGTCAGGCGCCGTGGCCAGCACAGAAGTGAAAATGCGTCTTCAGGAGTTCGTCCTGAACAAGAAGAAGGCGCTGGCCCAGCGGAGCCTCAACCAGGGAGGCCTCCCCAACGATGCTCCCTACTGGTACCGGTAAGGAGACCGAGCCATGACCACACTAAGACGTAACGGCTCATGATTATTCCTTCCCCCAGCAGCAGATAGGTAATGCGCTGGATTGAATCTTAATCTCTGCGCACCTCCTCCCCTCCTCATCCACCATTGTCTGTGTGAGTCCGACTGAGTGATGGATCGAGCAGGGTTAGAAAATAAACACGGCAGCACGCATGCAGGCACACACGCACAGGCGGAGCAGGATATTGGAACCTGATGATAGGGGCTCCTTGTCCTTGGACGTTTATTGTCTGAGCCCGTTGCAGGTGTGCACACTGGCTGTTTCCTATTTTTCTCCCCATGTTTGCCAGCAGTCACAAGATGCGGTTGCCCTTCATGCAAGCATGTGTGTGTGGTGGAAGCTGAATAGTTTGGTATTTAGACCGAAATAAACGTAGGTAAAATGTGGTGATGGAAAAAGGTGGTGAAAAGGTTTTAATAATCCTGCAACACGGACTCAAACAAAAGCTTTTTAGCTGTCAGATCAGCAGTTGTGAATATCTCTCCGCACGAGCAGAGGACTCGATGACTTACCTTGTCAAAGCTGCTTGTTTGTGATGCCACCTGAAAATGCCAGCAGAGAATACTTTAGATATGCCAAATGATGATATCCACCATCATGTCTCTCAGTTGACATAATTAAAGGACTTAATCTGTTAAAAAAACTGGACCAAACCTGTAAGATAGTGTTACATAATGGAGATGTGTGACCCAGTAACAACTCCCACAAGTCTTCACTTTCATCTGCTCAGAGTCGTACAGTAGAAGTGTGTCTGTCTGCACCATCCATTTCTCCATTTGTCCTCCATGGTCCTCTCTTTGGACCAGCCAGGCTGCTCTTTTTGGAAGAAAAGCAGCGCGTACATCCGCCTGTCAGGAACATCTATTTGGGATGAGGCCAGCACGGCTTAACTTTTCCCGCAAAACGCCGCCTTGTCCTGTAGGCAGTGAGCAGATGGCCGCGCGTCTGCCTCCGTGCCAACAGGATTTGCATGGTGCCTTAATCATTGAGATCTATGGCGGCCGTGGAGTTAGGAACTTCGTGCTCTGCGTTGTCGGTGATATTGGTGACCCCTCTAACAGCCCCCCCCTCTTCCCCCCTCCCACAGCAAAACCCAGCACAGCTCTCTGGACCAGAGCTCGCCCCCGCAGACTGGTGTGTCCACCTACAACCACCCAGTACTTGGCGTCTACAACCCCCGGGATGACTTCCCGCTGCGGAAGACTGGTACGTCTTGGCCGCTCACACACACACACACACACACACACACACACACACACACACACGCTCAGTGCTCGCCGTGGAGGCTTTGTGGATTTGCAGTATGCCTGCTCACTTTTAGAGGGGATTACTCACAGATATTTTGAAATTGTCATGTCCAGTAGCTGCAGTGCAGACTCCCGTCTGGCATCATTTAGACGGCTACAGAGGTTCGCACCATTAATCACATCCACATTAGGCTGTCAGGGTCTCCCAGCATCTCCCACGTGAGAGCGTTAGAGAGTGGAAGCGTAGGTGGTTCCAAAGCACAACGGAGAGAGAGTGTAGTGGAGGACAGCGAGAGATTCTTACCATTTTAGAACCTGTTTTTTTTTTCTAAGACGGTCGGATTTATTCTGAGGGTTGAGTGGGAATGGTTTAAGAATTATTATGATTTAGCTTAACTTGCATATCACATCAGAAGTGTGTCAGTTAATAAGGTCCCCTGTTACAGTTCATCCTCTCAATGTTTTTAGCATTCACTATACCTCAGTAGCAAATAGTTTACAGCCACTATTTTAATGTCACTCCAACAGGATATGAAGCATTTGATTCTAAGACAAATTTCACAAAGGATGCAACAATAGTTTTTGTATAGTTTCGTGTAGTCGTGCAAAAGGCACAGACCTGCTTTATTTAGGGTTTTGTAGACTCATACAGAATCATTGTTACCTGTTTTCTGTCATTGATTGTCCAGAGGAACGTTTCTCTGGGGAGTAAGGTGCTGCTCAGACCCTCCAGCAGTGAGTCAGCAAACAAATTTACCCAACCTCCCCACAACTGAAGATAACCTTTGCCTGGACGAATCTTTATGGTTCTTGGAAAAAAAAAGAGGCCTTTGGGGCGACGAGCAGCTTTTGTAACTTGCGAAATTCTGGCTGTTTTGATTTAGCATTTTTCAGACGGCCCTGCCCTCCAAAGCAGTGGAACTTTTTCTGCAAAGTTTCGAAAGAAATTTCAAACCCTACGTGGACATGATTTAAAAAAATGAAAAAGAACCTCGGAGAGCTTCTTTTGGAGACGGTAACGGCATGAAGCAGCGCAGGGGAGAAAGGCTGCTTTATTTAGTCACTGTGGTGCTGCGCTGAGCAGCTTTTTTTTCCTAATTCTGAGTAAACCTTTTCACAGCTAAAGAGCAGCTAAAACATGGCAGAGTGTCGCGCTGGAAAAAGTTTTTCTTGTGGCTCACCATCTAACATCTTCGGGCTCCTGAGTGAAACCAGCTGTTGTCGGTGTGTTTTCGTAAGGCCGGCGCGTGTGTGTGTGCTGAGTGTGGGTGTGCAGCGTGTGAATGGTGTGTGCGGTGGTGTTGCCATGAAGAAGCGGTCATCTTACAGTGCAATTATTCACTTAGCGCAGTGGCAGGAGGCTGCAGCCAGGGCCCGTTGCCTCTCGGCCGTGGGGCCACTGGCTACGACGGATAGACCACAGTTGACACTGGCCCACACAGCCACATTCCACCCTGGGAGAGCAGCAGCAGGAGAAAACTGAGCAAGAAAAGATAAAACCCAGGGGGGAGAAATGGAGGGATGGGGAAGCAACGAACAGGGTGCAGAATAGCGCTAATCAGGAGGAACCTTCGGTGGCTTCATTGGCCAGTTTCTTTCAAAAGCTTAGAAATCGAAGATTAGAGTGCAGAAAATGAGAGCTGGCAAGCAGGATTCAAACCAAATCCAGCATGTGGCACAATGATGCCCCACTCCCCAAAACCCGCTTTATGTAGAAAAAGAGAAAAAAAAAAAGCTGGAGGATGGCAGAGAGTGAAAAGAGCGTCCCTGGTGTGTCAGTGTGTCCCCCGATTTCTATAAGGCCGGGGATTGTGCTCCGCCGCGCAGAGAGAAGAGAACCTGTGCCACCCTGATATTTGCCCACACCGATGACGTGCTTTGCGGGGTTTACTTATGGTAATGCCAGCTCAGGAGAGTTTAGAGGCTCTTTTATATCACCGCCAGGCCATAAAGTGAAAGACTGGAAGCGAGGACTCCCAGCGACGGGCGAAAGAGGCAACAACGCTCTTTTGTGCGTTTCAGAAACTGAGAGCAGCTGATACTCTGAATGCTGTTTGAACAGAGCAGCATCCCGGGCAGAGGGGCTGGTTTTGAAGTTAAAGCTGTCCCAGCTGATTGGGTGACATCTGATGTTGCTATGGTAACCTGGAGCTGATACTTGATCACAACAAAGCAGCAGGTGCATCTGCTGACTGTACACGGCACATGTTTGTTTTTTTTCCTTCCTTTTTTTAATTGAACGAATGGTGCTGAAAAAATACCAGCCAAAATATTTCGGCTGTTTGGGACATCGCGTTTATCCAAAGCACCAACGATCGCTGACCGGGGCAGATGACAGCAGAGAAAGGCTTGCGTGACAAATGGTGGCATCCTGAAAAGTTGAGCCTCCGTCAGATTGGGGGCAAAAGTCATCGGCCTCTCCTATTCAGAGCACAGCTAGGGGTGAGAGAACATCACATGAATAATGCCCAGTGTGGACCATGTTCTCACATATACAGAGATGCCTCAGAGGGATGTAGACAGGGTGGGAAAGCAAGAGGCCCTCCGACTCACTGTGCTCTTTGATAGAAGCACAGCAAAGCATACTGTTCCTGGCAGAGCCAGCGTATACTCGGGCCAAACTGGGACGGCCTATCTTTCACATGGACACAAAGCACATAATCGGACTGATTCCATACAATACATGTCGTCAGCTGATAACGAGAGTGCCCAGTTTGCTGGTAAATACAAAGGAGCGTGCCGCTTCCTGGTTGTAGGACAGAGAGAGCCTCTCGCCCCTGATGTGGGGCCTGCTCTGACGGGGGCCACAATGCACCGTTTGTGATATCATGTATGAATGTGTGTGCTCTTGCCCAAAACAAAGCTTTCAAACATGCTGACATGACGTGTAAATGCCAGATTAGACCCACTTTTCCTATATTATTTTTTTCACAAGCAAAGAAAAACCTATTTTTTCCCAGTTTTATTAGCATTAAGGCTGACCCAAGCTTTTCTGTGTTGTTCGTTTGTATTTCTTTGAGTGATCATTTGGTTAATCCACCTTTTTTTTTCTTCTTTTTTTTTTTACAAACGTGCTTCCACTTTGTGGAAATAGGAACCGAAAACCTAATTACTCTGCTTTGTTGGGCTACGTCTTATCATTTGTTCCTGTGTTGTCTCATTGCTTTGTTTGCTACATTAACAGAAGCTTCTCTTCAGATTAGGAGCGAGTTAAGGCGCTCCTTGTTGAACATCTTACGAATTCATTAATAGTCTGGCACGTGTGTGCTGCGTCGTGTAGTCACAGTACTCCCCACTGTCTGTGAAAAGTTCAGTCTGGAGTGGAGACAGCTCTGCTCTCCAGAAGTGTGGGTGGTGATTGACGGCACACACTAAGATTCAAGATCTTTGCACAACATAAAGATCAAGCTACGGGGGAAAAAGAAAAAAAGTCTGTGTTTAAAGTCCAGTTAGTGTGTAATCGTGTAAATGAAATGCTACATTTGTTTTTTAATATGCTGTTTTTTCAAAATCATTAACTATTAAACCAGTAACCCTCATCCCAAATGAGATTATAAGGATATCAAGACTCTCCATGGAAATGGCTACTACTAAGCGCTGAAAAAAAATCCCTAATTGCAAATTAATAATTGTCCTTTACCAGGGAGAGCTTGTAAGAGGTTTATTTGCTACAACCCTCAGCGAGCCCCTCATCCAATAAATGTCACCCCTTAGGTGAACCTGATTTTGGAAGCTGTTGGTGCTTTCTAATTGGTGGGATTGCTGCAAAGCGCAGCCGCTGTTTGCAGTTTCTCAGAAATACGTAATTAAAAAGCAACTTACAAAGAGGAAAATATACATGAGGTGTCACTGAAAATCAACGGGTTTCATGGAAGCTCAAATAGTCTAAAGAAAGTCGTATTAAAAACTGCTGCATTTGCAACTGCCAGCGGTTTTCCTACTAAGCATGTTTTTTTTCTTCCGCGTCTCAGTTTGTTTCTCTGAGCCTCTGAACTAACAGTTATTTTTGGCTACAAGCCTCCAAATGACAAGAACAGCCCCAACTGAAGCTGGAGACCAAATACAGGATGAGAGCAGGATTTTCAGAGATATCCCAAAGTGACTAGCCTTCAACTCTAAATGTACTCCTTATTGAATGTTAAAGATTAAACGACACGATTCTAATTTTTGTTTAATGCATTTTATGATTATATGAGACGGAACTGTCAACATGCCCAGCTGTAGGTTTAATTAGATTTGAACCTACTATTTTTTTTATTGCTACTGATGTATTTTCTAACATTTCCAATAGTTGTTTTCACTGGCATACAACTCAGATTCATGTCCTCTGAAATTATATTTAAGATTTATAGTGAATTGGTTCCAACTTGAATTGATTTGACTCCATCTGGACTGAGCTCACCTTCCAACTGTGCTGCTCTACCTTCACACTTCACATTTCACACTTCCCTCCTTTTCAACGCCTTTATTTTTACCTGCCACCACAAATGGGAACGAGTTTGTGATGGTTTCTACTTTTGGAGCTAGTTTGGACGGACGCAAAGATGATGCTAAATGATCCAAAGCTGCTGATTGGCAGGACAACAGTTCACATACTGTTCCCGTCTCCGTTCACAAGTGCGTGACAATGTGCACAAAGGACCAACATACCATTTAGGCAGTCTGACACGGCTTCCAAATTGGAGCTAATTGCTTCTTTGCTCAACTTTTGGTTCAAATCAGAGTCTGGCCTGGTCACCCCTCCCCCTCTCGAGGGCTGGGGCGAGTTGCATGCAAAAGGATTAGCAGCTTGTAGCAAAGCGATGTCATAACAAGGCCGCTTTGTGAACGGTGCTCCATGACAGATCGATGTGTCCAGCTCCCAGCTGAAGCTCGGGGGCTGTAAGGCGGCAGCTCAGGTAACTCTCCTGCCTCTGTGGATTGATTAGCCCAAAGCTGCACTGCTGCCAGTTTAACATGGAGGAGGCGCGACGGGGCCCCTGAGCAGGAGCTGGCAAAGCATTCCAATCACACAGTTACCAGAGGTGATGGGGGAAGAGGACACAGTGGGGGTCAGGGGGCTGTGCGCAAATGCCTTAAGTGGAAGTACCTATCTGCTGGGATTCGTGATTTAGACGGTGCCTTTCAGTATGATTGGTCTCAGCACGAGCCAAAGGCGCACCTGGATTTAGCTACGAGAAACAATCAAACACAGGTGCAGCCTCTCTAATAAAATTAGGCATGACTGTGTTTGTGCATTTGCTGGAATTAATCACGAAAACAGCTTTTGAAAAAAAATAAACACCTAAAAAGGGGGTTGATGGATCGGGAGTGAAAAGATGTTTACTTCCGAATTGCCATCGAGATGCAAAACCATAAAAGCTCTTTACATGGAGCTCTCGTCCAAACGAGGTTTCTCTCTAATGGCAGCTGTTCTCTCCCCCGTCCCTCTTCCAGCCTCGGAGCCCAACCTGAAGCTGCGCTCCCGGCTCAAGCAGAAGGTGAGCGAGCGCCGGAGCAGCCCCCTGCTCCGCCGCCGGGACAGCCCCATCAGCACGGCCAAGAAACGCTCGCTGGACATGGCGGGTAAGAGGCGCGCGCCCGCCGGCCCCCGGCCCCCGGCCCCCGGCCCCCGGCCCCGTACCCTCAGCTCAGAGTGTTCAATGTGCTGCCTGGGTTACAGACTCCTCGTGTAGCAGCGCCCCCGGATCGGGCCCGAGCTCCCCCAACAACAGCTCCAACAACATCCCCAACGAGAACGGCATCACTGTGTCCATCTCCAACAGCACAGAGGTAACACACACACACACTCACACACACGCACACACACGCGCACACACACACACTCACACAGAGCAAGCAACAAGTGTCATCAGCCGACATCCTACATGTCCGCACACGTGTCATCTTCTAAAAAGATTGGATCTCCCTAAACACGCTCATTTTTGAGGGTTATGAAAACTGTTCCTCTTGCCTGCTTTCTAGCTTCCGATCATTGCAGCCTTTTTTTCCGTTTACAAGGACTCATTTTAAGGCATTTTAAGGTGATGGGTCTGCGGATGAGGGGACAGGCTGAAGAGAAGGCAAGATGCTATTTGTGGCGGCCATTAAAGGCACTCAGGCAGTGTGGGGGCGGCTTGTGGCTGTGCCCAGTTTACAACAGCAGGAGGGTGCAAATGGAGCTCTCTCGCCCTGCTCTGTTTTTTTTTCTCTTCTGTGTCCTGGGGGTCTATTTCACCACGCAAACACAGATAAATCATTTAAATGTGCTTTCCAGGCGTCTCTGGCCCAGAGGCTGTGCAGCGCTGCTGAGCAGGGCTCCGTTAACCAGCTGTCTCTCTACACCTCGCCATCCTTACCCAACATCACCCTGGGGCTGCCCGCCACCGCCACAGCCACCGCCGCTTCCAATGTAAGGAGGGATGGCGCCCGCATGCGTGAATGTGTCGATCCGGAAGGGTGTCGTCTTTTAAACGGTTCGTTCAAAATCTTTGCCTCTTTCCCAGGTCACATCGGCCCAGCAGGACGGGGGTCTGCAGCCGGCCCTCTCCCTCAGTCCTCCTTTCCTTTCCGGCAGCCATTTGCCCGCCTATCTGGCCGAGGCGGGAGCAGGAACCGGTGGGCACGGCGCCCACAGCCCCTTACTCCAACACATGGTGCTCATGGAGCAGAGTCCGGCCCAGAGCCCCCTGGTGACAGGTGAGGAGGGCGATGAGCTACAGTTGGTGGTGGGTAGAGTGGTTCCGTCTTTGTGGTTGCAATTTTTGGCGAAATGGACGGTAATTAGAGGGAGAAGGGGGGAATCGGTAAATGCGACTGTGACGGAAACAGTGTGGAGCCGCAAAAAAAAAAAAAAAAAGAAGCCCATCACAACGCTGCTGGAGATGTGTGGGGCTCTGTGCCTCCTCTCGCTGACAGACGTCCATTCATTTGCTCACACTAATGAGCTCCTTTCATATGTCAGCGTATGCTATGAGAGTGTGACATGGGCGCATTGTGTGCCCTTTCCCATCAACTCATTCACTGACAAAAACATTGCTTCTATTTTCAGAGGAGCATTAGCAGTGAATGAGCGCTGACGCAGATTCAGACGCATGTATGTGTGCATCTGCGCAGAACAACGCACAGACAAGGACGTGTGCTCGCCCACACACAGGACAAGAGGGAATTTTTACAGCCCAGATGCAATGCATTACCTCTCAGTCTAGACAAGAGAGAAGCCATTAAAACGAGGATACACACCACACATCCGAGCCCCACAAACTTAGCTGCTTCCTGCAGAGCATCGGCAGACTTCTCAGCAACAATTTGGGAAGCACTGGGTGGGCACGTTCTGTGATATCTGCGCAGCAGTGGAGCTCCTCACATCATTTAACAGTCAGCCAGGGTCTGCTTTTTGCTCCCCTACAAATGGTAACCATAACACAGATGGCTGTTTTATCTGGTGCACAGATGCATCTGCCCACTAATGGCAGGTCCAACACCAGAGAGAGGAAAAGTGGAAACTTCTCATATTTGTCTGGAATTTGAAGAATGCCGTGTGCATTCTTTCACTATTGATTGTGGTCCTGCAAGCTATGAATAAACCTCAGCAAGTACATTTGAGCTTGCTGCGTGTGAGGTGCGTCATTATTCTGTGTCATCCCTTTGCCATTCAGACATTAGCCTCTTTTGTGGTCTCATATTCATTAGTACTTATTTAGAAAAGTATGGTGACAGCCCTGGGAAATTATTTTCCTCTTGAGCTCCCTACTAAAATAGATCGCGCATCCATAAATTCTTATTTTGCTCAAACAGTTCATGTCTTTCAGAGGCCTAAAAGTCATCATTAAAACAGTTACCATGGTTCGGTACAGAGGCCACTCGAGCATAAGTGGTGTAACCAGTCTGCTATCTTGGATCTTGCGCGACCATAGGGGCATTCTGATAAAAATCCCCTTAGGTTTACACCTTTTAAACCTGTAATGAATCTAATTCAAGCGCTTTTCAGGTTGCGGCTTCACTTCCCTGTGTAATTAAGTCCTGCTGTTTCTGTGTCCCAGGTGTCAGTGGGCTGTCCATGTCGTCGGCGGCGTCCATGGCCAAGCTCCAGCGGCAGCACCGTCCCCTGGGGAGGACCCAGTCGGCCCCCCTGCCCCAGGGCAGCGCCGCCCAGGCCCACGCCCAGGCCCTGGCCCTGCAGCAGCTGGTGGTCCAGCAGCAGCACCAGCAGTTCCTGGAGAAGCACAAGCAGCAGTTTCAGCAGCAGCAGCAGCAGCTCCATATCAACAAGGTGAGAGGCTGGGCCTTTCTGTGCTTTCAGCACTCGTTTTCTTCCTTCTGAATATGATATCTTCCATCCACTCACTTGGAAAGACTCCAAAATGCTATTTGAAAGCAATTGTTTAAAAAGAGGAAGAAAATGTTTTCCATCTGCCTTGACTGGGACAGACAGAGCTTTGTGGCTTATTTTTGGGTGTCTTATTGATACCGTTTTTTGGCTGGTCTGAGTAATGTGTCCTTTCGTGGCAGACTTTTTTGTTCAGACATGTTTTTTAATCGTGAATTTCACTTGCCCTTTTTTTAAAACTATTTTTTTAAAGTCCAAATCATGATATACTAATGCACATCCACCTCGTGTCAGAGGGGCAAAAGTCAATCAAGCATTGACTTTTGATGTGGTTAAAAAAAATGCGGCTCATTTGTTTAGCAGCTTGCACTTGTTGAATGGCTCTGTGATGTGCCGGCCTGCCTCTGTGCGGCTGATGGACGGGCCCCTGGGTCTGACATCACATCCCAATAAACGGCTAACTGTCAGAGCTGTGCGCGGCAGGTCTCGGTAGTGGTGGTGTAGTAGTTTGCGTAGGCAGAGGCCAGCGGCACAGAGAAGAGCCCGCTAGCTGCAGCTGTGTGTGCGGCCGGCTTCTCTTTGCCCTTCTCTTTATCCCTCCGTAGTATTTCTGTTTGCGAGTGGGTGGGAGCAGGTACGGGTTGGCGTGCACAGCGCCGTGTGAGCGTGCGCGTGCACGTCGGCGTCCACGTCGCTGTGACTGGCCGAGACGGTTGCCACAAGCTGCAAGGTAACCGTGCGCTGCCATGGAAACGGAGCGGAAGCTGCTGCCTCATATGGGCAGGGAGGAAGCGAGCAGCCGTCACTCTTGATGGCTCTACCTATTCAAGCAGAGGACTGGCTGAAGGAGGGGTGGGCGGATGAAACAAGGGATTTCCTCTCCCCCGCCTCCCACGCACCCCTCTGTCTCCATATGTTTCAAACATCTCCAGTGGCAACTTTTCACAAAAACACCTCTAAAACAGCCTCTGGCACACCAAGGACGGATTCCAATGTTCAGAGTGGGGTTGGACGAAGTGATTTGCCACTACCACGTGAACAATAAATGTGTAGCCACAGCCAGCAGCTCATTTACAGACTGAGAGCAGAAACGAAATCTGCCTGCCAGCACCTCGAAATATCACAGATGAGCAGCTCATTCCGTGTTATTTTTAATTCGGCATAAAGGCTACTGTACTTTCTACGAGCGGTTCTGGGCCAGACTGTGGTTACATGCAGGAGATTTTCCACCACAAAATCCAAAACAGGGTTAGGCTGTGCAACTTCCCCTCGAGCCCTGGGGAGTTATCATCAATGTTCTTCACCCTTGTGAAAATGTTCATAACAGGGCTCTGGCCGGCGTGATAAGAGTGTCACGTTGACATGAAGCTTTGCATTTCCACAGAGCATTTAAGGTTTAACATTCAAGGTACTCCTGGACCCCATGTGGCCCTGAACCGAGCATCTCAGGAAAGGCACGAACGTGACTGCTCACTCATGCTGGTAATTCAGCCCAGATGAGTTTGATCATTTCCGCCAAGCTTGTGGGATCACTCCCAAGAAGACAGGAAGATGATATTGCTTTAGCTTCCTGACAGTTGTGCTCACTGGGTACAAAATCGGGGCTCTGAATATTTCTGTAATTGGAGTATTTTTAACTTTTAATTAAAATAATTTTTGCAAACCTATTAAATGACAAATGAAGCTTCAAGAGGGTTTACAAACGTTCTGACTTCATTCAGCTGTGTGTCTGATTCAGCCACAGCTGCCCCCTGCCTTTGTTACAAGGGAGATTTTGGTTTGAACCAGATAAAGAAGAGTTCTTTTTTTCGGGAAAGAAAACGGGGCAAAGGGGGTAGTTGAGGTCAGGGGAGAATGTGAAAAATGGGGGGGCGGGGGGCATCTGTTTGGACGCACAGAAGGCTGGAACAGTAGAGCAAAGTAGGAGGAGCGGTGGGAGGCGGGGGGGAATGAATGCTCTGACGTCAATGCTGTCCCCTGGCCCCGGGCCAAGGGACCCAGAGGATCGCAGCTCTGGGAACACACACACACACACACTCCCCCACTGTCCCAGCACACACACACACACACACACACCTGTAGCTGTTTCCTCACACGTATCCACATCACAAACAGACACAGGCCCGGGAGGCCCGTACTGCGGAGCCCTCTGAGCGGCCCACCTCGGTGAACGGGAACCACCGGGGTGGGGGGGGGGGGGGGGGGGGGGGGGGGGGGGGGGGCAAAGTGGCTGCTCGGCCAACGGCACACCCGGGAATGAGTCAGTGAGGAGCAGCCCGACGGGAAGCGTGGAATGCCTCTGATCAACCAGACGCATTTCGCTCTGGCGCAGTCAGCAGCGCTGCCACTCACTTTCAATTAGAGCGGCGGGGTTTGAAATGAGTGGGACAACAAACCCAGTGAGTAATCCAAAATAAGCTCGTTAAAAGAAGAAAGGGATGATGTTCCAGGATTTGGATGCCGGGGAGAATGTGCTCCTTTTGTCTGAATGTAGCTTCACATGCTGAATGGGATTTGCCCCCCCCCATTCCTCGTGATTGTCTGTGGGGCAGCGTGGTGAAACTCCTCCCCTCTGTGTCTCCACGCAGATGATGGCCAAACCTAGCGAGTCACCTGTGGGCCGGCAGCACCAGAGCCACCCCGAGGAGACGGAGGAGGAGCTGAGGGAGCACCAGGACGGGGGAGCCCTGCCGCTGGGGGTCACCATCAAGCAGGAGCCCCCCGATCCGCAGGAGCTGCAGGAGGAGGCGCTGCAGCAGCACCGGGAGAGGCAGGCGGAGCAGGAGCTTCTCTTCCGACAGGTAGGGAACGGGGGGGGGGGAGTCAGGAAACAAACAGCACCCATGCTGGATTCACAGATGCAAAAACAACGTAGGCAGAGGGAATCGATGTGAGGCTCCACAGAAGTGATTCCTTCCTCTGCTCGGCGGTAAGGTGTAGGTGTCCCGGGGAAGTCCTGGAGGGGAGCGCTCATGTTGTTTGGACTGTGAGGCTTTTATTTCATGGCATCACTCTGGGTTAAAGGCAAAGAGCAAATCAGATCCAGACTGCTTGTTTTGGCCGCCATCTGCTGGCCGTGGGTTGTAATTGCAGTGTAAAAATTTCAGGGAAATTTCTTTTCAGCTTTTCGTTTTTTTGTTTTTCCACTTTCATTTTTCGCATGTGAGCAGCAGGCTCTCCTGCTTGAGCAGCAGCGAATTCACCAGCTGAGGAATTATCAGGCCTCGATGGAGGCTGCCGGCTTGTCCATCTCGTTCCCGGGACACCGCCCCCTGTCCAGGGCCCAGTCGTCCCCAGCCTCGGCTTCCTCCTTCCCGATCAGCCTCCCTGCATCCGATCCTCCCGTCAAGCCTCGCTTCACCACAGGTTTGCGTCACCGGCCTCTGGCACTCTTACGTGTGTTGTTGTTGGCCTCTAAACTCCAAATCACTGTCTGGCTGCCAGTAGCTTCTCTTGCCCTGATGGGATCATTTGTTTGAAAGGTGTTTCACGTGCATACCATACGCACTGGAGAACAGAGAGCGAGAAATCCACCCAAAAAACAGGTGAACAGGCCAGAAAATGCTCTCTGAGCACAATCTGGTACCAGAAATAACTGCGATAAGTAAAGGAAGCCAGAAGCTTTTCTGCCCTGCTCTCCGCTCCTCTCACAGAACAAACTCCTCATTTTCTCAGTGGGGAGGATGCTGAATATTTCAGCAGTATTTCAGCAGCCTGGATCAGGAACGCTGCTTGACCTGCCTGTGTCTCCCCAGGCCTGGTGTACGACTCTCTGATGCAGAAGCACCAGTGCATGTGTGGGAACACCAACAGCCACCCGGAGCACGCCGGGCGGATTCAGAGCATCTGGTCTCGGCTGCAGGAGACCGGCCTCAGATCCCAGTGTGAGGTGGGTCCACGCTGGAAATGGCGCCGCCGGCGGGCGCCTACACCAAGCGGCGAAACCCATCTGAGGGGCCGCGGCCACGTTTGTGTGTCTGTGTGCGTAGTGTATCCGTGGGAGGAAGGCCACGCTGGAGGAGCTGCAGACGGTTCACTCTGAAGCCCACGTGCTGCTGTACGGAACCAACCCACTCCGACAGAAACTCGATTGTGAGTATTCCCGCCCATGCTCAGAATGAAGAACGGCTCCTGCCAGCGTCTTTTAACTTGATGTTTCGCTCCCTGATCACCAGGTTCAATCACTCCAATGTTTGTACGACTACCCTGTGGAGGGGTGGGGGTAAGTTCCACATTTTTTCTCAGATGTTTGATTTAAAAAAAGTTTTTTCATCTGTGGTTGACTAAACTAAAGCAGCTCCACCATTCTACCTGATTTAGATGTTTCCCCTCAGATCAGTAGCGTGTGCCTCTGTGCGTTTCAGGTGGACAGCGACACCATTTGGAACGAGGTCCACTCCTCCAGCGCAGCCCGCCTGGCCGTTGGCTCCGTAGTGGAGCTGGTCTTCAAAGTGGCCACAGGAGAGCTGAAGGTAGACACTCATCAGGGATGTTACAAGCTTTGAAGAAGAAGAGTGACAAAACTTTGTATTGTTAAAACTCTGATTCAGGCTCCTCTGGAATGCCCTCGCTCTTGTTGTTGTTGTTTCCCCGGTCAACAGTAGCAGCTTTACAGCCACATTCTGCTACCGTCTAGCGTCCATAGTGACGGTTTGCCGGCGCTCTGTAAACGCAGAGGAAGCCGTGAGCGATGATCAGCGCCGCTGTGGCTAACAGGCCGCTGTCCCTCTTGCCTGTCTTTTCCAGAATGGTTTCGCAGTGGTCCGGCCTCCTGGACACCACGCAGAGGAAAGCACTCCCATGTAAGGCCACAGCCGTCACCACGCTCGCTTGGAAACACTCAGTCTACGCGTACACAAATACCAGACTCTGAGCGGGCCTGTCTGGAATAGAGATGACATAAACCGCTGAGTTTATTTGCACATAAAGAACCGAGTGCCTTCATTCTGCCAGCTGTCTGAAGGACCGCCGTATTTATTTTTCATATCCTCCTCTCGATGTGTTTGAGACGCACCGTGAAAACCCCCAAAAAAGCAGCGAAGCGTTCTGGCACACGACTTTGAGAACAAACAGGAGCGCTCTGTCTTTGCTGCCGTTTCAGGGGTTTCTGTTACTTCAACTCGGTGGCCATCGCGGCCAAACTGCTGCAGCGGAGACTCAGCGTCAACAAGATTCTCATCGTGGACTGGGTCGGTCTCCCTCTCTACCGCCTGTAGATTGTCGTGCATGGGGTCGTTCAGATGTACTTTACTGTCAAAGTGTGTGTGTGTTGCACATCACTCGGTGTGGAAGGGTCTTGTAGTTAAATCATGTGTGTGCCTTACTTTAGGACGTTCACCACGGCAACGGCACTCAGCAGGCGTTTTACGACGACCCGAATGTCCTTTACCTGTCCATCCATCGCTACGACGACGGCAACTTCTTCCCAGGAAGCGGAGCACCTGACGAGGTGTGTGTGTGTGTGTGTTTGGATTTTTCTGCGATTGCATATATAGATATAAACAACAAGCTGAGGTTTTGGCCATTTCTATGACCGATCATTTAAGATGTGTCACCAGGGCACGTTCCAGTTTTGAAGCAATCACACAGCAGCTGATGTGTGTCCATGTTATCTACTCAGTAATGCACAAACATGCTCTTTGTTCTCCTGAAGCCTTTCATGATATGTAGAATCCAGACTTGCTTTGACAAGAATGCGAGGGATATTTGGTTCACCCGTTCATTTGTTTCTTAACTTGAGGAGAAAGTATGAGGTTTTCGCTCAGAGGTGAACATCGTCTCCAGCCCCGGTCCTGCTTGTTTTTCATCTTTTGTTATATCCAGAAGTTTCATGTTTGCTTCCACCCAAATTCCCTCATTTACTGATGTTCTAAAGTTTCATCCCTCAATTAAAGTACCAAAACTGCTTTTCTGTGATCGTATGGGACATGCAGCCAATTATTATTTTAGTTTTGGGTGATCATAATAGATTTTCACCCGCGTTATCCAACTAATTTCTCCTTGTAATTTCAATAATTTATTACTCTATTTGCAAAAAAACATCACGTTTGTTTCTTAATTGGTAGCTAGTGGGGCAACGTTTACTGAGACATATTAAATAAACTCTTCTGGTCTGTAGAAAATTATTTGGAGGTCAAATGCATACCAGCTGCCTAATTAATATCATCTTTTTGGCAATTGGCAGCTTTTTGCAAGCATCCATTTCCAACAGCGTTTGTTGGGGTCTGAGCTCTCACCTTAAAAATCTGACAGTTTGATTAACTTTGTAAAAACACCACGTAGTGAACCATTTGCTGTACTAGTTGTACAGAAAGGGAATAACTCCTAGACCAAACTCTCACATGACATTTCCTTTTTTGGGAATTTAGCTGAAACGGCGTCCTCCCCACAGCTGAACCTCAGCAGGCTGTTTGAGTAGCATGTGTTCTTCTGCCTGCAGGTGGGCAGCGGGCCCGGCGTTGGGTTTAATGTCAACGTTGCCTTCACCGGCGGTCTCGACCCCCCCATGGGAGATGCAGAGTACCTGGCTGCCTTCAGGTATCCGACAAACTTATCGGTTTTCTGTTTTAAAAAAAGAATTATTTTCTTTAGGTGTCTATGTTTAAATTCTTCGACACCCACATCCCTGTTAAAGGGAAGTGAGAAAAGTGTGAAGAGTTCCTCATTCAGCATAATGGCTCCTAAACAGATCATCAAAATGGTGGCTTTGAAACTAATAAATCCCATTTTGCCTCGCATTTAATCAGGTGACTACTTTTGAGAACTGATTATGATTAAAAATGCTACTCCTAAACCCTGATGTGATGTTTTCAAAGAAGTAAAACCAATAGTTTCCCTCCTTTGTCATTTGTTTTCATCATTGGACATGTTGACAACTGATAATCCCCCCCCTCCTTCTCTCAGGTCTGTAGTGATGCCAATAGCCAATGAGTTTGCTCCAGACATCGTGCTGGTGTCCTCTGGCTTTGATGCGGTGGAAGGACACCCCCCACCCCTGGGCGGCTACGTTCTGACGTCTAAATGTGAGCACAAGATAGACCGTAGTGGAGCATCTTATCTCACTGTCCAGCCGCAATTCATTCAATGTATAAACCAACACATGTGGTTAGAGGCTTGAAAAGGTTCAAGCGTGGGCACAACAGGTGGAAATCTGCTGAAAGTGTGCCATTTGCCCACTCTGACTTTGCTTCCTGTGACCTGTCCTCAGGCTTCGGCTATCTGACCAGGCAGTTGATGACCCTCGCTGGAGGCCGGGTGGTCCTGGCTCTGGAGGGAGGTCACGACCTCACCGCCATCTGCGACGCCTCGGAGGCCTGCGTGGCCGCTCTGCTCGGACAGGAGGTACAAGGCTCACATAGGAAGCTCCAAAAACCTGGAAGAAAAAGAAACACTTAGGAAGACTCATCCTTTACTGGTTTATTTTTTATTCTTTATACTGAATTTCTTATATAGTTGAATACCAGGAGGAAGTACTTTTTACTAAGAACAAAGCTCACCTGCATGCCTAATTACTTCAGTGCCAGTTTCCCATCACATGGGGGTTACAGCATGACGTACAGTAGATGTACCACTACTGCTACATCTTGATCTGTCTGGGCAAGCTGGAGGTGGACAGAGACTGCAAGAAGTTGCCACTTTCCATGCTGACCCCCTGTGGAAAGTATGCTAAACGCAGCCGGTCCACATTTGTTTTCATTCTGTGTGTGCTTTCCTTCCAGCTGGATCCGCTGCCGAAGTCTGTCCTTGAGCAGAGGCCCAATCCCAACGCCGTTCTCTCTTTGGAGAAAGTTATAGAGACTCACAGTGAGTTCAGCCTCAGTACAACTAACAGCTAAGAAAGAGGAACATTCATTTCCAGGCATGACGTGGCAATGAAGTCACATTTGTTCAGGGACAGCTGTTTGATCAGTTAGTTTCTCTTCTCATTTATCAATTTACTCTGATTTTAAAAAAAAACACTATCCTTTTTCTCTTTTCCTCCCTCCTCCTGCTCCGCTCCCTTCTTTCAGGTAAGTACTGGCCGTCTGTGCTTCGCTACTCGTCACGAGTGGGGCTCTCCCTGCTGGAGGCCAACCGAGGAGACTCTGAGGAGGCAGAGGCCGTGAGCGCCATGGCCTCTCTGTCCGTGGCCAACAGCAGCGCCATGGATCAAAGGTAAGGGACCCGGAGCAACCGGGAGATTCCCCAAAGCCCTGGGTAGACTTCCTCTGGCCTGATTGGTACTTTCACCCTCATTTTTGGGACAGTTCTTCTTAAGCCTGAATACAAACAAACATGATAAAACCTGAAATAGGTATTTGTTTGCTTCATAGTTTTGCATTTCTTCATGGAAACTTTAACCTCTGAGTGTTTCCCTTCAGGCCAGATGAGGAGCCCATGGAGGAGGAGGCCCCGCTGTAAGGGAGGCGCCCGCCTGGGGTTGCAGGGCAACCATTGACCTCTCTGGAGAAGAGTCTCGACTGATCCCTTCATTTAGTCCCCCCTAGCCCCACTCACCACGTCAGTCACCTCGATTGGCGGCCCCTCGACTAAAGACGAGGGAGAGGGGGGGTGGGCTCAGCCTCAGAGGAGGGAGCCAATCAGAAGACAGAGGACTGAACTGGAAACAGAATTTAAACATAACGGCGTTGCTCGGCAGCACCCGCTCAAAGAGACTCCTTTTTTTTTCCCCGTCGGTCTTCGCACCCCTGCGTTAGCCAGCGGGCGGGTGAGCGAGTGGCGGCGGCGGCGGGCCGGCGGGTTTGGAGGCGAGGTCTCGTTGAGGAGCGGCGTGACGACACTCCTGGGGCAGAAAACACACACGGTGCTTTACACAGCTGCCCCCGGGCCGCGCTGGTATGGACACCAGGGACAGCAGACACGCCCCCCAGCTGCCAGTTTAGCAGCTCGGGGGGGATCTTTCTTTCCACTTTTCCTAACTTCTTACCCTACAACACAGGGGCGTCGCGGCCACTCAGATGACTTTTTACCGGCCGCGTTCACTGTGGACTCTTGTGGGCTTGAGAAGGCTTTTTACAAAGATTTGACTCTGAGACTGTCGCCTCGCTGGAGCAGCCGGAGGAAGGTTGACGAGTGAGAGGGAGTGCCTTGGTGAGGGTCCGCTTGATTTCAGGATTGTTCAGGAAAAAGGTTGCCTTAAGTTTTAAGATTTTCTCGCTTGGGAATCGGAACGTGGGAGGAAGGCGGAGAACTCGAGAAAAAAAAAAAAAGCAAACAATCTTTCAGCATGTTTACTTGGAATGTGATGAAGACAACGTTTATGTCTCTCACAGCCTCTCTTGAAGAGTTACTTTACTTTTGAATGGATCTATTTTTCTGTAAAAAAAAAAAGAAAGAAAAAAACACGCAAAAGTAAGAAAACGCTTTGTAAAGGTAGTTGCCAGCTTCAGTAGAAAAAGGTGCAAACATGGAGAAATTTAACCGAGGAATTAGATGGCGAACTCTCAAAAAGGTCTAGCCTTTAATGTAGCTTCCCTTTAACCGAAGTCATCGCTTCAACACTTCAAAGCATGCAGACGAGCAGAGGCCAGACTTTACCGTAAGATTTATTTTAATGTTATCCTAAAGAGAAAGCCAAGCAAGAAAAGCCAAAGCATGAGTTTGCATTTGCTGTTTCACTCCTCTTAAAGCAAGTGGACAAACATTTCGCATATTGGCCCTTTAAGATGAGGTTCCCAATACCAACTTCAATGTTTACGAATTTAATAGGTTGCAGATCAGGTGAACATTTCTTTACACTCTTTTGCTGATCGAGGGCCCATGCTTTGCCAGTTGGCAACTACCTTAGTGCGAGCTAAACATTAGTCATGTATATTGAACTGAATATATTTTGACAGGCAGTAATCGAGTATTGTCGGTTTGTATCTACATGTATGATTTCCACATCAAGTTGTCGATTTACAATATCAGAAATGTGTTTGGTAAGCGTGTCCGCTTTTTATTTTTTATCGTACAAGATTATTTTTCTAACTTTTTTCATCCATAGATTTTGTTTGGTGTTTTTATCCGTTTTCTGGATAGTTATAGGGCTGCCATTCACACACTTAGTGCTGTCTTCATTTCTCGTTCAAGACTTTCTTTCTTGTATTTATCGAAAGCAAGGAGCAACACTTTCTTTCTTTCTTTGTACGGCTCCCTCAGCCTTTCTGCATTTTCATCGACTATGTATTTATAACATGTACTGTTTATAGGAGATTTGTATATGGAAAATTTATAAATGTACTCTAATGACAGCTATGATATTGTGAGCAAAAAACCCAGTCTGGTGTATGATGCTACTCCATGAACTTAAAAGGAAAGCAGCATATTTAACTCGTCATCGACTGCACTGTTTCCAAGTTGCCCTCCAGCGAATCATTACTCGGCACTGCAATTGACTTAACACATCCGATCACTTTGTTGCCTAATTGAAGCTTTCTCCTTTGGTGCATGGGTGATATGCACTTACCTTTCGACTGTGACAACATCGTTTTCTATGTAGCTGGCTGAGTTTTCCGCAGCAGGAAAAGAAGAAGAAGAAGAAGGTGTTGTGGATGTCAAAAAAAAGGAGAATTTTGAGCCAGATCAGGATGGAAACCAACAGCTCATTGTTTTTCTCTTTTTTCTTTTTGAATTGAGCATTTGCTGCACTATCATGTCCGCCACATCTGTTTTCCTTCTTCACTTTTCCTGCTGGTATATTCAACTGATCTCACATATTCAGATCGCTCAAATGAACCCCCACCTGTCAACGGTTTTGTTCATTTAACGGCGATCAATTTTATTTTGAGTTGGTATCATTTTAGAGACCTGTAAGATTTGAGGCTCAGTTCCCATTTTTCATGTCTGACAAAACATTCCACTTGTAACACATTTGATTTGGCTTTTTTTAAGTGAATTTGAGGTTATTTTGTAGAAACTAAAATACCTTTTCTTTTTGCTGTCTGCTCGCGCCAACTTTAACTCTTTGCATGGTTTGTGAGTCAGCATGCCTGCTTGTCTATGTAACAAAAGAAATTGTATTTGCACAATAGAAGAAGAACACTGGAGGACTTTAAAGTACAACCTCCCAAAAGCACCAAGTGGGAAGGTTTTTCTTCCCCTTTGGTGGGCAAACTGTTAAAAAGACTTTGTCTAAATGACTCCACTGAGACGCATTTGATATTTTGACTATCCAACAAATGATTTTAACACAATTCAGCACTTACGACTTGTATGGACTGTGTTTGAGAGAGACGTGCTCTGACAAACCTCGGCTGCAGTCACACCTTAGAAAAAGACTCTTCCAAAGAATGTTCCTCTTACAAAGATTTTTTTCAGCTACAACGGATCAGAAATTGCTTAAGAAAAGGTTTCAGGGAAGAAGAAAAAAAGGGCATCGTCATATGATTGTCACACCCACCTCGGCCAGTTCTATATATATATATAACCACTGTGGCTCAAGAGCAATTCTTGGTTTACATGTAAATGGATAGAAAAAAGTTATTTTTTGTTTGTTGTTTGTCTCTCTTGATGAAAAATGTTATCTTTCTTTGGGACCTACGCTTTGGACATTTCATCTCTGACATCATCTATAGAATATATTTCTGAAAAATACAAACATTTCTGCTTGTCTTGCTGTGTTTTTTTTTTAAGTCAAATTGAGTAAGCTGGTCAAGAATACTGCACATCAATAGGTCTGCTCCAAAATCAATGCCAGGGATGCTCTGAACAAAAGCAGATACTTTGATTTAAAGGCCCTAAAGACCAGAGCAAGCTTTTTGCAGGTTTCTGCTTTTATCACATCAGCAATGAGATGTTCACTCAAAGTCCATGTTAGCACACTATAGCCCCTAATCATCAATGGTGAAATACCAAGAAGCATTCCTTGATAAGATCCTCATTTTTCAAAGTATAACTATGGAATTTTAGCCTTTTTTCTGTCTTTTAAAAAAAAAAACTTTTACTGGATCTGAAAAACTAGCTGCCCAGCACATGACACCAATGATCCCAGTGAGAATGTCACTACTGAAGGGGGAAAAGAAACATAAGAGTCTCAGGTGACTTCGCTCTGAGTGAAAAATCTAATTACAAACCCCAGTGTCACAAGTGTGCATGGAGGATTCAAGCAAAGTCCAGAGCAGCGGTCAGGTGACCTGCTTTTCCTTTGATTTTCTGTGATTAATCTTAAAACCAAAAGTCTCCGATAAGAATATCTGCCCATGTTGCTGTGCTCAATAAACAGCTCAGCTATAACTAACTTATGTGAAGCAAATGATAAAAAGAAAAAGTAGAGCCTGTTGAAGTGGTCTTTTAATGGATGGGGGACAGTAAATTTGGCAGTTTTTATTGATGAATCATTAGAGGTAATAAAACTACATGGCCACAAAATATAATGGACAAAATATCAATAAATGCTTTTAATTAATGGACACAGAATGGCTTGTAATCACAGTTCAGTGATTACACTGAGCTTTCCACGCCATGAGGACTCATGACAGTATAAAGGCTTATCCAATGGATGAACATGAATCATACGTTAATATAACGGCATTGAAAATGTGAAGGCTAAGCGGGTTCCGGCCAGTTTTGTGTGCCTCAGGGAAAAAAAAAAGCCTGTGTGTGTATGTGTGTGTGTGTGTTTAGTAAACAATAACTGCGTGTAGACGTGACACACTCCGAGCGTCCAATGAGAGGCGGGCACTTCCCTTCAGCAGGCAAATACGGAGCAGATATTTCCTCTCCGCCGACGCTCCTCCGCGCTGCCACAGTGCCATGCCCGAGCTGCAGCATTAGCAGGACTCTTTCCCCCGTCTGCTTCACCCTCACCCTCTTGTCTTCTCGACTCTTCTCGATCTTCTTTTCCCAAAACGAGCTTTTGCTCAGCCCCGCGGAAATGCCCAACATCGTGCTTTTTAGCGGGAGCTCTCACCACGACCTCTCGCAGAAAGTGGCTGATCGGCTAGGGCTGGAGCTGGGGAAGGTGATCACCAAGAAGTTCAGCAACCAGGAGACATGGCGAGTACACGTTTTTAGATATGAGTTAATGTTGGTTGTATTTATTTATTTGACCTTTGCTGTGGAAGCTGAGCCCATGTCTCTGTTTTTCGTCCTGACTGGTATCACGTGTGGGAAGTTAGCTTCGAGCTAACGGTAGTTTACTATGCAGCTCCGTGATGTTCACACGTGATTAGCTAGCCGCATGTAAACACAGCAGGCTAGCGGGCTAACGTTAGCAGCCCCTTTGTGACTTAGTGCCATACTGCCTTATTTTGGTGGCCGTTTTAATGTTTGTTTTTCATTTGTGTACGGTTTTATCCAGAGAGAGGCAGCTCTGGTGTTCATGAGGGTGTGTACTGTTATGTTGGGTTGATAAAGGCGCCTTTACGCCTGTGTGTCCCAGGTCGCATTTTTTCTCCCTTTTTTTAAATTTTAATTTACATTTAGTTCTACACGGGCTGGAATGTTTCTATTGCTGCTTTTTGGTCCCCAAGCAGTGGCTTATATTCGGTTTTTAGCGGCTGTCTATTTTCAGTCAGGCGGAAATGTTCACCTTTAGCTACAAAGCTGCTGCCGCTCACAAGGGAACCACTTTGTGGGGTGTACAGAGTTTGACGTGACATCGGGACGCGTTCACATAGCTTAAACATGCAAACGTGGCCCTGGTTCTTTGCTTTGGTCGAAGAGATCGTGTCTTTCAAAAAATATGCAGAAAGTCAACTCGAATAAGTGACCCGTGCACTGTCGTGGACACCGCTTAGTTTGCTTTCATTTAAAATGGTCCTGAACTGTTTGGCTAGCCGCAGAGGATCCCATAATGCCTTGCTAGAGGATTTTAAATCACTATTTGAAGCTAGACACAGACCAACTTAGTAAATGAAGTTATATATATTTTTATCTTTCAAGTGCATAGTTAGATGAAACCCAGATGAAATCTCTGTACCATCTGTGTTGCTTATCATGGAAAATAATTACCTGAACTGTCCAGTGGATTAAATCACATGCACATAATTTGTGCTCATTTGCAAAGTGGCCTCATGCATTACTCCTTGAATCAGTGTCTGCTGGCTTGATTCCCCCCCCCCTCCCCCCTTAACATGGCTTTTCCAAAAGACTTTTATTACTTTTCCTGCCTGGCTTTGAACACAGTTGGTTCAGGTCATGTGTCTTGTTTGAACCTGTCTGCAGAATGACCTGGCGGCCTCAGAGCTGGGCTGACCAAAGAGGTCTCATACCAGTGTTTTTCCACTGCATCTTTAAAATAAGCATGTACATGTGGCTGACATGATCTTCCCAACCAATATATTTGAGGGTGTGTTGTTTTTTCTGCAGGAAATATTCCGTGCATGATTGTGTTTTTTTGTGTAGGCTGCATATGTTCTATAATCTCCCAGTTCTGAATAATTTCTGGACAGTTTAATATCTCCAGGCTGTTTGGCACGAGGTGCAAAGCAGAGATTATGTCCTCGGGGAGGTGAGCGCGGTGCCCTGTAGATGCAGCACTGGCTGGAGAGTCGGGCGCTGAAGCAGAGGCCGTGTCTGAATGTTTCTTTGCTTAATAGCGTCTTGTTTGTTTTGCATTGATGACATTTTGTTGACACTGGACTGCTTGTTTGTGGTGTCTTAAGTCCTGGAATACGGCTCAAAGATCAAATCACATTGTACAAACCCTGAACTTTGCTTCATGGTCTGTACGTCAAAACATGTGAACAAGATCCATCCAGAATAAAACTAATAGGATTTGAGCTCCAATGCCTGTCGTATGAGATGTGAACATTTGGTGTTTTTATTCAGAGCTGAAAACGTGTTGCTCTGTGTTTCATGGGGGGACAGCAGAGCAGATAAAACTGAGCCTTTACGGGTTCAGACAGCTGTGTTGGATTGGGGCAGAAGCCGGCGCTCTGGCCTGACCCCTGTGCTGACCCAGAGCTACTGCGACAGGCCTGGTGATTGGACGGGTCCGGCTTGAAGTCCTGACCGCTGAATGCGTGTGGCGATCACCTGACTGAGGTCCCACAGAGGAATGTTTCACACACGTGCTGTGTGGAGCTCCTCAAACGCTGCCGGCTGAGCTGGACCGCAGGTTCAGCCTCGGCCGGGGGTGACCGCCTTTTGTCCGGCTGTCCTTTTGTGTGTCTCTGGAGCCGTTGTTGGTTTAGCTTTGCAGTGCGGTAGCTGCTTTCTGTGAGCAGACGTGTGGCTCCATGGAGGCTGACCCGTCACCGCCTCCGTTGTCGCCCTGGACTGAATGTTTTCTGTCTCTGGTCTTTCAACAGTGTGGAAATAGGGGAGAGCGTGCGTGGGGAGGACGTGTACATCGTTCAGAGCGGATGCGGTGAAATTAACGACAACCTCATGGAACTGCTCATCATGATCAACGCCTGCAAGATTGCGTCCTCCTCGCGCGTCACGGCCGTCATCCCGTGCTTCCCCTACGCCCGCCAGGACAAGAAGGACAAGGTAAGCCGCACACCGGAGCCCCCAGGGGAAGACGGGCGCTGGGCTCTGTCTGGGGCGAAGGGCAGGAGGGCCCCGGCCTCTGCCGCCTTCACCAGAGGCCGCCCCGGCTACTGTCGGTCATTATCTGGTGACGCAGCAGAAGGTCCGTTTAGCGCCGAGCCACAGGAAGACCGCGGCACGCGCCGCTGTCCAGCCCAGTTGGGAATGATTTCCTCCTCGTTTGTCTTTGCCTTCTTTCTCTGTCCTGAAACCCAGTGCGTTCATGTTTCTAAAGAAAAGGGGCATTTTGACGATGGTCACCAAAACTGTGCTAACACGGTGGCGTCCTCTCCAGATGAGCTTTCCCTCTCTGGAGGCGCCGGTGTCCTGGCCTCTGTGTGAAATGTAAAGTGGCCCCCGTGTCTCCCATCACGCTGACTCGCAGCTGCTGTGTGTTGGTTCTTGCTCCAGAGTCGGGCCCCGATATCGGCCAAACTGGTGGCGAACATGCTGTCGGTGGCGGGCGCTGACCACATCATCACCATGGACCTCCACGCCTCGCAGATCCAGGTGTGCAGGCCAGCCCTCCCCCCCACCGGCACCAGCCCTCCGTTCAGGAGAAGGTTTTGGCGTTTGCTCATTTCTGTCTCCTCCTCCTGAAGGGCTTTTTCGACATCGCCGTGGACAACCTGTATGCTGAGCCAGCTGTGCTGCAGTGGATCAAAGAAAACATTCCAGAGTGGAAGGACTGTATCATTGTGTCTCCAGATGCCGGCGGGGCCAAACGGTGAGTCCGGATGATAAGATAGAAAGGGCCAAAGAGCAGCAGCTATCTTCTGAGGAGCTAATCTTAATTGAGTGCAAACATCAGTCCCCTGAGCTGTAAACGGCTGTCGTGCACTCCGGCCTGATTTACGGCCAGTCCGAGTCTTTCAGTGGGTCCTCTGACACCAGCTGAGATCAGCAGAATCACAGGGCTTTTTGTCCTTGTTTGCCCCCCCCCAGCCTTTTTTTTTTCTTTCTTTTAATTGTTCATCAAAACCAAAGGCCACAATGTTAAAGGTCCATTCTTACTCTGTCCAGCGTGACGTCCATCGCCGACCGTCTGAACGTGGACTTTGCCCTCATCCACAAAGAGAGGAAGAAGGCCAACGAGGTGGACCGCATGGTGCTGGTGGGGGACGTCAAGGACCGGGTGGCCATCCTGGTGGACGACATGGCGGACACGTGCGGCACCATCTGCCACGCTGCCGACAAGTCAGTGTCCCGTTCCGGCCCCAAATCCCGTCGCCGAGGTGTGGAGTGAATGCACACGCGTTTCAAAAGCTGAACTTTTGCTTCTGTCCTCCAGGCTCATCGACGCTGGCGCCACCAAGGTCTATGCCATCCTCACACACGGCATATTCTCAGGTCCCGCCATATCTCGCATCAACAACGCCCCTTTCGAGGCAGTGGTGGTCACCAACACCATCCCACAAGAAGAGAAGATGAAGGCGTGCCCAAAGATACAGGTGAGTACATCCAGCTCCTTTTTAGATGGTCCCAAACCCTCTGCCATCTCCCTGTGAGAATCTCAGAGCTAAAAAAAGGGGAAATGGTTGATTCAGTAACCTGATTTAAATCCAACTGGGGACGTCATGGGCGGGTGCACAACCCAACTTAGTAAATAAGTCCCTAAACCGGCACATCGGGGGAGAACATTCTCCAGTAGTTCTGCTGATAAAACCTCACAGAGGGCGGCATTTTGAGCATCGGCGGATGGAAATGTTTAGTACCGCAGCACAAAAGTGGAGTGGAACAGCGAAACATGTCGTGGCGTGTCCCGTTTCTTCCAGGTCATCGACATCTCCATGATCCTAGCGGAGGCGATAAGAAGAACCCACAACGGGGAGTCGGTGTCGTATCTATTCAGCCATGTTCCTCTGTGAAGAGGCCCCCGCCCCCCAGCCTTCCCCTCGGATCACTCGGCCGCCACCTTTGGCCTCACGTCACGCAGAAAGGCTGAAATAATTTTTTTTAAAGGCCCGATGGGTTTCGGCCTGACAAACGTGGCTTTCCAAAGGTCACCCCCCCCACACATCATCACCATTGACATTTTCACCCAGCAGACGGAGCAACAGGACACAACACTTCCTCCTCCAAGGTTCAAGCTTGTATTTATGAGTCTTCGTGTTTTTTCGTCTGTTCATCCGTTTCATCCCTTCATTTCTCTTTAACTAAAGGGTCCATTGTCCCACATCTTTTACCTCAGTGAGTTTATTTAGCTGAAGCGTTCCGCTCTGTTTTATAGGAAATATTTAGGCCTTCTCTGTTTGTGATTTTTAATAAAAAGCATAAAAAACACACACCCCTGCATCCCCAAGTGTTTGCTTAAATCTTTCCCGAAAATATTAAAGTCTAACCCTTTATTAAAGTCTTAACTCACGAATAGCCTGACTTGATTGCAAGTTTGTTCCCGGCACTAGTCGAAAAGCTTCGTTCAAATTGTGTTGATCGGGCCACAACTGCAAAGAAAGAAATCAACCTTGTGAACTTTTTTTTTTTTTTTTTGTGAATGGCACCGATGAATTTTCTGCTGTCACTTCTTAGGATGGAATGGCAAACCCTCTGATTTTCTGCTTCGGCTGTTCTAAAATGTACTCTAACTAATACGAGGTGTAGTGGGTGTTTCTCCCCCCGCTCTTAAAAGGTCATTAAATGAGACTGAGCCCAGAGCTTTTGTAGTGTTAAGGTTCCAGCCTGTAATCTGTTCTAATGTGGCGACGGTGTCGCGGCTGTAACGAGTCGCTGTTTGAATGAGGCAGGGTTCACTGTTTGCCACTTTTAAGTGGATGGAAAGGATTTGGATTTTTTTTTTTTTTTAATGTAATATGAGAAGCGTTCCTTTGGTAATAATAAAGCTTCGAGAATTACATACTGACGTGTTGTGGATGTCTTTTTATTTATAACTTTGTCTCCTGACAAACTGCCCTACATCTCCCATAATTCTATTTGCCATCCTTTTGTCACTGTGATCCTCATTTCATCAGTTGGTCTGTAGCCATTCTTTTCCAGAAGACATAGGACCCTTTTTTTTGTGTGTCTGGACTCTGTAATATGTACAGATGAAATGTGAGAACACTTAGAAGACCCTTTTTCTAAGACTTCATTAACCCGGTATCCATTCCTGCTGTGCAATGTAATGCAGCTCTGCTGAAGGGCCCAAAGTCAAACTCATGCCATCACAGCCCGCCATTTGAACTCATCAACATGGTTAAACTGGAGTTTAACCAGTGATAATCCAAAAGGTGCCCGATGCCTCTGAACTGGGAAGTGGACGCCATTTCTCGACTGACTTAACATTAGCATTTATCTGAGGGGTACAGCTGAATTATACTCAAATTATTATATTCATATTTTATTCATATTTCACCAGTTTATTATGTTTAATCATGCCAGATAGTGAAATCCCAAATTCATTTCCAGTTTTTATCAGAATAGTTTTTTCTGTTTGTGCTTTTCCATCAGCACTGGTACCAACAACAAAGTAACTGTAAGCCGGTTCATTTGAGTGATATTATTCTGGAATATTTGATAAATCTTTCATATGTGGTGTGCTCTCTGAATAATTTTTTATTCAACGATGAACTTGAGTCTGAACAAACTGTTTGATCTAAATGGTTTTGTTCCTTCAAACAATTACACAGGAGCCTTATCTGCTCTGCGTTAAGGGAGATTTTGGCAAAACATGAGCCAGGGAGTCAGTTGACCCGCCCTCTGTATCTCCTTAGCCATGCATTTCTTATGGTCACATGACCAATCATTTTCTCATTTTGATCCAAATGTTGAAAAAAAAAAAGACAGAAAAGTACATGGGAATAGCGATAAGCACCAGTTTCCTTAAAAAGTGCTTTATTAGATGCAATGGCAGTTATATAAATGCCATTGCATCTGGCATTAAAATATATATATTGACTTTTTGTTTCATCAGCCTATGAAATCAGGCATGTGCCTGAACGGGTACACTATGTTTTTAATTCCTGCTGCAAGTTACTTGACCTTTATGTTCTGGTGCAGCCATTTTGGATTAATCATTTACAGTACTTTTTAAAAACATTTTTGTGTTCTGTTAATAGTCTTGAAGAGGTAATACTGGCTCGTGTTTTTCAGAACCAATCTCCCTGCAAATGGGGTGTGATTGATTCCACCTGGAGCAGACAGGCTCAGACTCTGGGACCAGGCAGGTTTTTAACACACCTGATTCCAATGAACGGCAGACTTGTGAGGACCTGAAGAATTTTTAGGGGTTCTAATCCATCTAATTTAGCTGTGAAGTGGGGAAACATGTAAAACCTGCAATGGTCTGCAAGGGCAAGACTTTAAGAACACAGTTCTAATTCCCAACAACCCTACCTGACTGAGCACAAGTGACAGGAAAAGAGTTTGAGGAAATTGCAATTCTGTAATTCTATTGCAAATGCAAGCCAAACAAAAACAGCCACAGAAATGTACTTTAAACTCTGGGAGTTTGAAAGGTCTTTCCCGTGTTGTGAAAGTCCAACAGGAAAGAGTCTGGACGCATGCGTAAAACCACCACCAGATGGAGCCCAGTGCGCACAGAGGGACAGCCACACGACCTACTGCTCAATGAGGAAAAGCAGCCCTTATTGTCAAAGAGGGGCCGTTAAAATGTTGACTGCTATAGAGTTTTGGTGATCATTAAGAACACGTTTGGAGCAGTTGTGATTTATATTATGAGAGGGTTGTGGTATAAAACATTAACTGGGATCAACAACAAAAATGCAACAGGACAATAAATTCATTTGAGTTGAATGAAAATATGAATCTGCATGAAAAGGCTTCGGTTTCTAGTCTTAAAAGGATGGCGGTTTGTGCCTTACCAGCAGGGGGACTGGAGCATGGAGGGAGGCTGGGTGGTGATGTCAGATGTCATTAGCATATTTCTGACTATATCAGATGCTTGCGCAAAGACGCGCCACTACTGCTGCAACCTACCGACCAGAGAGCACCTTCCCTCCAGCCAACACTTCGGTAAGAGATTCTCCTCAAACCCTTCCAGCTCGTTGTGTGCGTGGCTGTCTGCAGCTTTGTCACATTGTGGGATAGTTTTTTTGGAACGTATTGACGAAGCAAAGGAAGGATGTCGCTGTGGTCAAGCGGGACAAAAACGGAGGATAATTTGGCTCTTCCCCAGAGAACGCGCCCGTCCTTTTATCTGTGTTTCGTACCAGGGCGATCCGTGTCGGGGTGTGAAGTCACAAAAAAATAGCCACAAAAAAAAAAAAAAAAACCCCGCAACGGGGGGCTTTTTGTTTCCCGCGATTTCACCCACGCCAGTTTTCTTTGTTGAGTGTGTGCGTAAGTGCTCGTGTGCGCTGCACGCGCTCTGTTCCGTTAACCAAACGCTGCTCGGACACATCCCCAAATCTTTCTGTTACCCAGTGCATTTGGATGGATGTGTTCAGCGTGTTTTTGTTTTATAAAAAAAAACAAAACGGGTATAATAACAGAGTGTCTTGATGCAGGATGAGTGAGGGGAATGTAAATCTGGGCGGTGGTTCCTTCAGTCTGAGCCCAGAGGGGAGAAAGGGATGACAAGTGAAATTCCGGATGTTGCATAGTTGCCTTGTGGACGCTTAAAAGTCAACATTGCGCTTTTGTTTTTGTCCCCCCCCCCGTGTTTTTGCAAAGGCTTGTGCACAACAGCAGACCCCTCGTCCCCCTTTATACGTCTTTCTCGACGTGCCAATCAGAGGAACTCCCCATTGTTATGTAAATGTGGGCTACGGACTGGCTTCAGTGTCATTGTCTGGCTGTCGCGGCTTGTCCCCCCCCCCCCCCCCCCCCCCCCCCCCCCCCCCGGACCGGCCCGACCCGTGTGCGTCGGGCAGCCCGGATGAGCAGCAGGAGAACAAAAGGAGGCGGACGCATCTTTAGAAGAACTAGTCCGCGGTTGCGCATGTACTTGAACCGAACAAATGACTTTTGGTGGCTGATTTAGGCAACGCCCTTCCACAGATAAAATGTCAGGGTAGACCACATGCTTGAGGCCTTGTGCATTTTTCTCCCCTCAACTGCGTCATCCACAACATCCCACGGAAAGTGCGCACTCTTACATTTGAACGTTTCTGATCTGCGTCTTCTTCGTGCTCAAGACTAGTAAATATGATCTCTGATTTACATGCCCTTTTTTTTTTTTTTTTCTTCCTTGCAGACCAACTGCAACAATGAGTGACAAGCCTGATATTTCAGAGGTGACCAGCTTTGACAAGTCTAAGCTGAAGAAGACGGAGACGCAGGAGAAGAATCCCCTGCCTACAAAAGAGAGTGAGTCCTGGCCACTTATCATTCAGCCGGAGCTCTTTTTTCTGTGCTTGTGTGGATTTTTGGGTCTAATATCTGGCTTCTGTTCCGCTGCAGCCATCGAACAGGAGAAGGCATCATCGTGAAGCCCCTCCCTACCGTCATGCACTGTACACCCCCACCTCCTCCTTCTCCTGCATTGCCTTGTTTTCAGTCACTTCTTTATAGCTGTATAACGTTGTAACCGAAATTATGAAACGACGACCATAACCAAGCTGCACAGCCCATGGACGGATGATGCCTTCGTCGGGGGGCAGTCGGCCCCACCCCCTCAGAAAATGCCACCTTCATTCTCGTCTGTTGAGATCCTTGGTCTGAGTTGGGGGCAGAAGACGGTTCTGAACGTGCACGTCTATTCAACACCACTCCGACATGCAGCCTGAGGGACGGGGCGTGGCCTGCGTCCCAGGAAGCTCATCACCGTCTCACCAAAACCACCGTCTTCACCACTCGACTTAATGTGTGGCTGCTTTCGCGCCAAAGCTGAGGCGTCAAGCTTTGTTCTGTTTTTTCTCGTCTTATTTTCGGAATGCACAACCTTGTTTGTACGCTGGCCAAAATGTAAATGCCCAAAAAAATTGATACTGTTCTATGTCACTTTTTTTTTTTTTTTTTCTCGTATGTTCACAAGGATTAAATGTAATGGATTCCATCCTGATCTGGGAGATGCTCAAATGGACCTTTTTTTATTAATGGTTTAAAATTGTACTTTGGCTCTTTTCGTCGGAGTGATTCGGGGTAGCTTTTGTGTCGCAATCTCTGAAACGTCTTGAATGAGGAAAAAATTGTTCCAGTAATTGGTTCTGTGTGTTTTTCTTTGAACCGTTGATCAAAATTCTCTGGAGTTTGTAAATTCCCAGCAGTCATGATGTTCTGCCACAAACCATTACCAGAAATGGAAAACCGTGAAATGTTGTAATAAAAGAATTTGTTACTAACGAAGTGTCCAGCGGAGTGCTTCCTCTAACCAACCTGCCCAAATCCTTGTTGCAGATTCACTCTTAAGCTACAGTTAAACCAAAATCTGGTGGTAGTTTAGTGTCTAAGCCTTGATTATGTCAAACAATATTGGGACACTAAAGGATAAACTGTCCAGGAAGTGGTCATCACCAAAGATTATACATTTAGATAAAAGTAAACTGTTTTTACGCCATGACTTGGCTGCTTTTAGGCAGGGGGTGAATAGGGTTTGGTTTCTTCTGGGCCCATCTACTAACCTGGCTGTGAGCAGGGGCTTATGGGATGCAGCACCCTGACCTGAACCAGAGTACAAGGTGTGGCTTTAGCAGCTTTAGTTAGCTCTTTGTCCAAAATTAGCCACTGCCTGCAAAGCCTTAATGTCATTAGCATGGCACTGACGTTTCCTGGGAGCATTAGGAGTGTGTGAAACTAATGGAAAAACCTTTGAGATGTTTGTTCAAACGACTGAGCTTTAGAGAAAACCCGTCTGTCATTGTTTGCTGCTATGACTGTCGTCCAGTGCTATCGGTTAAGAATGTGATTACATGGTAGGTAAACTAACACCGCTGCGGACTAAGGTTGCAATCGATCGCAGGCCAATCTTACGTGTTCATTAGTTTAGTGTAAGTGGATTGGTTAAATCAGCTGCTCCTAATAAGGTCTTAATCTACATCGGGGGAGGGGTGGATGTGCAGGTTTGTGGGCTGCTGCGGGAAGACTGGGCCAGGTCCACGCTCTCAGGAGGGATTAACACCTCCCCTGTCCCAGCCCCGCCTGGCCGCGCTGCACCCGAGAGCCTCCGGAGAAAGTGCAGGATTTGAACATGGAGCAGCTGATGGGGTGGAGTCACTGTGGGGGGTTGGAGAGGGTCAGATGTGTCAGCACTGAGCCGATCCCCCATGGGTGCCCTGCCTGGTAACCAATGGCAACAGCTGCTGCTGAGTCACTGCCTGGGGTTGGGCGGTGGGTCGTGGTTGTTCCCGGTGGAGAGATTTCCTCCCTGCCAAGCAGTCGGCATCCAACTAGTCCTGCTGGCGTGTATGGAGATTATGACAACGCACACGCTGCTGTGCTGTCTATTTTTAAATGTATCTGGCCATCGGGTTCCTGCTGCGTCGTCTTCACCGAAGGCAGCCATTTGTTACAGGCATGGTGATCAGAGTGCCTGATTCATGGTCACTGAGGGGACATGTGCCCGCACCGCACCCCCATTAGCAGGCGGCTGGGTCGTAGCTTTTATGTCTGCACTTGATGGACAAAGAGGCGTAAATATGATTGGCTTAGAGCTTCAAAGGTGTCTTGAAGGGAAGTATTTGAGCTAGTTGATACAAGCTTTACTTCAAAATGTTTCAATCAATTGGATGAGTCTGCACGACTCCATGTGATTTCAACAATTCAGGGAGATGAAAGTGTCACGACTCTGATTATCCATTTATCCATCCCTGTTAGACTACCACAGAGTCATCGTTTTCATTTATTGCATCTTTAGACAGCTCAACTACTTGACCAAATAAAACCTTCCTTTGACTTTTGCTCCTGTGATTTGGGGCCCGTGTATTATCTGCAGGTTGGTTTTCTCCTAAGTCATTTTTCTGCTTCTCTCTACCAGACACATATTCTACTTGCTGTGGATTTCCATGGCAACGGTCCACCCAGAAGTGACATTAGCTGTCTACGTTTAAGGGGGCGTGTAGCAACCAAATGCGAACACCTGGCCATCACGTCCGCCATTAAGTCTTCAGCGTTAGAAAGCGGGCCAGCAGGCTAAACAGGAAGTACATGTTTTGGCCAGCCTGATTGTGTTGTTATTGTAACTTCCTATCTGAAGCATATCTTCTTAGACTGTGTGAGGTCATTCTGTTGTTTGCTACTAACAAGACACTCACCAGGCCTTTTTTTTTAATGATAAACACACAAAGAGAATAGAGGCTGGCAGCTACTTGCCATATATGACATTTTGTTCTTTTTCCTGAGGCTACATTCGAGGCCATCAGACACCTCTTGTGCTTTCTTTAATCAGCATATGGTAATGTTGAACATATGAGGTCAGCTCATAGGATGTGACTTAAGAGTAATTCAATCCAGCTCCCAAAGTACCGAGGGACTTCCCCTACATCATATGGAGGGAACTAGAGATGGATGGAATCTCTGATATAGTCAATGATAACATGAGAGGTTTGTTGTTTCATAGAGGTTTGTTTTTTCTGCTCATGCCAGTAAGAATAAAGCATCTTGTGTTCATGTGTATATATAAATATATAAGCACATAATGCAAAGTTGTTGTTTTTTTTAAAACTGAGCTCAAATGCAGACATATGAGGCATCTGAAAAACAACGTCCACCCTTACTTCTTCTTCCACTTCGTTAGGAATTTAGAGGCTAAGTAGCTACCAGGTGCTGCCTATCAAATACAACTTGATTAAATGAGCATCAGCTGGTGGGAGTATCTCCAGAAAACCAGAGGTGAGTGACTAAAAGAGAAAAGAATCAAGTTTAAGCAATAGTCCAGTCAAAAATAATAAACCCAATCTCACTGAGGTGTATGGCGGGCCCCAAATAAAGCTAAACATCAACCAAAGCTCCCAATCTTTATCAACTGATGCAGTGAAGAGGAAAGAGGCGTCCACCATGATATGGAGGTACTGATAGAGAAAACAATTACACAACAACAACACACAAGTTTTGGTGAACAATCAAAGGCATGCTGCAATTCAAACTGTGGTGTTTAGTGTTGATGAGGTTGAAGCTGATCCTGTGGTCCACTCTCTTATAAAAAAAAGTTATGTTTTATGGAACAGCACGGGCCTCAAAATGTTTCACTAGTCATCTCCTTTTTTGTGCTGTGTGTTTACAGATGAGTGCTGTTCCACGTCCGGAGTCAGCAGGAGAGCAGGAACTAACTTTTTTTATAGCACTTCTCTGAACAAAGCCACAAAGTGCTCTGACAAAAAAAAGGTGAACAAAACACACACAGGAGCCAAGTCTGTGCTGAAAGGGAGAGGGGATCCTTGAATCTGCTCGAATCTTCCCCCATGCACCATTAAGTCGGCGCTAACTCGCAAGTTGCATGAACAGTAATTACATCAGATCCTGTGGAAGGGAGAAAATCAGTTAAACAGTTGGAAGGCTGTTAATTACACCATCAAACAGGCGAACGAATGCTCAGCTAAAACGTTAAGCCCGGGCGTAGCCCCGCATCACAGGCAGCCGCAGGCTGAGCTGCCCGTCTGAAGTTGTGCTTGATCATTCCGGACAGGCCCTATTAGCCTGGCCCCAGATGGGGCCGCGATCAATGCCGCCTGAATGGTGTTGGTACTCCCCATAGCGTGTAAATGCATTAGGCAAAGTGCGGCCCGGGTCAATACAGCTGCACAGACGGCAGAGCCCGTCACACCCGCTCAGCGGGACTCGACGAGGAGCTCCTGAAAAGCCTCAAGAGTGAGCGTGAACCAAAGAGGGAGTTCCTCTGCTGCGGCTTTCATAGCTGAAGTCAAGATCACATGAGCTGATTTGTCACCTTGGTGCACCCATGAGGTGTACACAGAGATGCTCTGTGACTGCTCCCCTGAGGGCTCACGCAGAGCCACAGCCATGCCCCTCCTCCCCCCCCCTCCCCCTCCTCCCCCTTTGTCACCGCAGGCTCAGGCCTGGGCTACTCTCTTCTCTCTCTCTCCATCCTGAAGATGATGTTGCTGCAGCAGACATTTGACACATTTTGGTTCTGTCTTGCAACAGAGAACAGAGGAAATGAAAGGCCCTGTTGAAGGGACTTTTCTGTGCAGTAAATAGCTGCAAATGTTTCATGCAAATGCCAGAAAATCACATTTTCGAATGCATTTCTATCTTTACTCTTGCTGACATTTGGGTTTTTATTTAGATTTAGTATTTTACTATTTTTAAAAAAAGAGAGAGGAAAGCTGCTTTTGACTAAAATAATTTACTCAATTTAGAACGAGAGTAAAGGAGAAAATCATTACATTGGAGAAGTAACAAAAAAAATAAAAAAAGTGACAAAACCTGTATAGCTCCAAAAATATTTACGTTGTGAGATTGAGCCAGACGCAGAGTGTGGCACCCTGAGAGCCGCCAGAGGCCACGTTCCTCACCGAAAGAATGTTGATCATCAGAGTTAATTAACCGGGTAATCCCTGGAGAGATCTGCTTAATAACAACCCCTTGTTAATAACGAGCTTTGTCATGCCATGCCTTATTTAGGTTTTCTTAATAAGAGAGAGCGACGTGCAGCAGTGGGGGCGCTGAGGGAACTACCTTTCAGAGGGGAGACTGGAGTTTTTGTGTGAGGCAGCACCCACTCTGCTGCAGATGCTCCCTCCAGGCTCATGTTTCATAATGGAGTCTGATCTCTGTGGAGCGGCGGGGAAAGTGAGATTATCTCCTCACATGTTCAGCGATGTCTCATTCATATAAACATTTCCAAAGCCAGTGAGATTGAAGTGTTTTCAGATGGAATTCTTAGAGTATTACGTGCCGATTTTTGACTCGTGTTGAGAGTTCAAACATTTATGGAAGAAACAACTAAAAATATTCAGTAGCAGGATTTACGATGCAAGGTCAAAGGCCAAACTACTGATTTATTTAGTGATCGTTTTAAAGGAAATTCTACACGAGATATGTGGACTAGGTTTAATCTAATCTTTATTTGGAAGCTATATTTACAGAGATGAAAATGCGAGGCAGCCGTATTTTTAATTCTGTGATCCTCCCGGGAGTCAGGGCAGAGATGGAGCCCGGCAGGACTGATATTTCTAATGTTACTCTGTTTGCCCAAGGCCTCAGGGGAAGACCCTGTGGGCATCTATCGCTTGTGACCATACCGAATTCTCCTTATGTGCTTTTTCTTAGTGGAGTAGTGGAGCAGTTTGAAATGATACAGTCTGAAATGGATCGGTGTGGAAAATGGATCTATATGCATGTCTCAGCATGCAGCAATCAAACTGATTTAGTATTTCAAGGATCTTCAG